CTGAGGAAGGGTCCGCGGCGGGCCGGCGGAGCCCACTCTCCCGGGGCCGGCGGCGGCGAACCTGGGAACTGCTCCCCACGCGCCTGCGCGAGCTCTGGGCACTGGGAGCCGACGTCCGCCACCTCCCGGGCGGCTCCACACGCGCCTGCGCCAGCGCGGGGACTGGCAGACGCCCGCGACCCCCCGGGCTGCTCTACGCGCATCTGCAGAGGTTAGCGGAGGCCAGTCCTGGAGGGCTCTGCCCAAGGTTGGCACTCTGACTTTGGGGGCTGGATAATTCTTTGTTGGGGAGGGGAGAGCTGTCTAGTGCATTGTAGGGTATTTGGCAGCATCCCTGGCCTCTTCCCACCCACAAGATGCCAGTAAAATCCCTTTCCCACCCGCTCACCCAAATTATGACAATCTTTTTAAAAATGCCTTCAGACATTGCCAAATTTTTCCTCGGGTGGGAGTGGGGAGATCTGTTGAGAATCTCCCATCCGAGCCTCGGAGGAGCCGAAACTCTACAGGGGCGGCCCTGTGCTCTTCTCCTTGAATCCCCACAAGAATGTTCCTGTGGTGTTTGTGTTACTTTGTTCCAGGACTGTATCCTTTCAGAGGGTTGGTTCCAAGTTAATGTCTGAGGTATTTCGTTTTAGATTTATTGGTTTTAAAATTAGTTTGTTATCTTTAGCTGTTTTTTATTTTTCGTTTTGTTAGTTATTTTTTAATTTCTATTTTTAGTTTTCTAGTTATTTAATTTTATAGCTTTAAAGTTACTTTATTTATAAATATTGTTTTCAAGGTTATTTCGTTTTTGAGTTACTCATTTTCAGTTTCTTATTTACAGTTACTTTAAGTTAATACATTTCCAAATTAGCTTTAGAATTATTTTAAATTATCTTTACAATTATTAATATCTGAGTTATTTACTTTTATAGTTATTCTGTTTTTTAGTTATTGGAGTTTTTTGAGTTATTTATTTTTACAGTTACTTATTTGCCTACTAAAAATTCACTGGAAGTTTTAAAACTATTTTAGAATTATTTTCAGGATAAAGTGTTTTTAGTTATTTTAGAGTTTTTTCCCCTTGTTAATTTTAGAGTTTCTTATAGTCACAGTTATTTATTTTTAGTTATTTTAGATTTGGGGTTGTTTATATTCATTTATTATCTTTTAGTTTTTTGGTTTTAAGTTATTTTCAATTGTTGCATTTTTGAGCATTATATTTCCTGAATTTTTTATTTTCAGAGTTTTTGAGAGATTTAGTTTTGAGTTATTTTCGGTTATTCTCAATTATTACTTTTCATTTACATCTTTGCCACTTAAAATTTTTTTCTGTTCTGTATTTTTACTTATTTCATTTTCAGATTTATTTTCAGAATTATTTAGTGTTAGAATTACTTAGTCTAGGGGATCCAAACAAGAGAGAGACACAACATCAGTAATTTTAACAGAGAGAATTTAGTATAAAGAATTGTTATCCAGCTATTGGAAATTTTAAGAGGAAAAAAAGTGATAAGGTGATATCATGGAGATGGTAACTGCAAGACGCAGCTACCAAGGGCTGAGGGAGCAAAGGGAGGAAGTTGGAGGTAGCCCCGCAGAGCTGGGCTTAGCCCTCTGAGGAGGAAGTGCTGCTTGATAGGACAGGTGTCCCAGGAGCTGGAAGTTGGTCTGGGAGCTGCCAGCTTGGTGCTGGTATCTTTGAAGCAGGGGGGTGGGGGTGATGAGGCTGGTTACAGAGGTGTTGGGAAAATGGCCAACTGCAGCTACTGGAATCAGCTGTTGCTCTCAGGGTGCAGACTGGTTGCTAGGAGGATGCTGACAGGAACTCAGGCACACAGAGGTCCCCCGCTCCCCTCTTACAGCCTCTGGTCAGTCTGCTCTATTGGCCGAGCCTGACAGAGAGTAGCTGGCAAAGGAGGTGAGTGGTCCCAGGCCCCAAAGCAGAGATTAGAAGGGTGGGCTGAAAGCTGAGAAATCTTGGCTAATAACCAGCACACTGACCTCTGGAGTTGTTTACTTTTAGAGTTAGTTTTGGATTTAGTTAGTTTTGGAATTGTTAGCGTGATTTGATTTTAACTTTTCACTGGACATGGGATCTGGCTAAGTTTTTGGTTCCCAGATTTGTTTCTGGAATGCAGTGGGAACTTCTTAAACACCTGAGGACTGTCTCCCATGTGACTCAAGAAAATCACTTCAGAATCAAGAAAACAAAAATAAGTATCTCACTTTGTTCATAAAGAAGCCCTTTGACTTTGTGGCCAAAAAAGGGCAGAGACTAAGGGACAGACCATCAGGGAGAGGCTCTTCAGCAAAATTGTCCAACAGGGTGTTCTTTGAAATTTTTCAGAAAGTTATGTTGTGGAGCTACCCTCTTGTGCCCCTTTCCTAACAACAAAGTATCATTCTCAGTGGAGTGTGTTTCACATTTGTAGACTACAATATTGATTATTTGAACACTAAAATAAAGTTCTTTCCAAATCCATAGGAAATCTTATCTCCTTCTACTTGCATTTTTTTCCAACACACATTATTCCATTCTGGCCATAAAACATTTATTTGGTTGTTTATTTGTTCATTCTAATCAATACCTATTTCCTGAGCACTCCTGTCCTCAGGAAGGTGCTGGCATCAGGAGAGACCAGGAAGGCATGACGATGAGTGAGAAGCTCTCAGTACAGTTGGGAGAGACAGATGAGGAAACAGATCATCACAACACAATATGACAAATACTATGGGGGCACAGAATCCTGCCACTGACTTTCTGATGTCATCAGGGATGGCATGACATCTGGGCTGGGTCTCCTGGAGCAGGTGTTTTCTCCAGGTGGAGAAGGAGAAGGACATCCTGGTCGTGCACAGGCACAGAGGCATGGAGGAGCTATGCATGGCAGGGAGGATGCATTGACAGAGGCCACTGGGCCACAGGATTCAGAAAGGTACTAGCATTAGGGCTGGCCAAGCACTGGCCCTGGTGCTTGACAGATAGGACCTCATTTGGTCCTCACAGCCAGTTTGAAAGAGAGTAGGAAGCAACCTCAAGAGTCAATGCTCTTCCTAAGTAGAAAACCTGAACAGACCCATAACCACTAAGGAAATTGAA